TGTCACGGTCCTCCCTGAGAATGAAGGACAAACAACAACCACAATAATAAGGTGCTTGTTGACTTGACTGTTCTATTAGTGATATCTGCGCCACTCCCCAACTCTACCTGTCACCCTCTTGGCTGTAATCTAACAGCCTCGTGAGATCATACATTTAGAACTGGAAGGGATCTTAGAGGTCATAGAGTCTAACCTCCTAGTTATACAGATGAGGCAACTAAGATCCAGAGGGTTAAATGACTTACCCAAGGTAACACAGAAAGTAAATGACAAAGCTGGTATCTGAACCCTGGTCCTCCAGGTCCATTCCAAATCCAGAGTGCTGCCCCTCCCCCTTCAGTGCCAGATAATCTCACTAAAACTCTGATTTCCTTTCAACACATTTCAAAGTTCTGCCAGCTTATTTAGGCCACAGATGTTCTTTTCACTTATAAGCAGCCTTCAGTAGGCATTTGATAAATGTTTATTGACTGACCATATTTTTCTCTAGGCTTATTTCATCTTTCTGAGTCTCGGTTTTCTCATCTGTAAAAAATGGGGATAATACCACTTGCACAATGAGGGTTGTCATAAGGAACACATTTATTGTCAGACTTGAGAGCCCACTTTATTTTGTCAGGAAGATCTCACTTTAAGGCTTGACACCCATCTTGGTGTCAAGATAATGGCACATAATGTCAGGGGAAAGAATTGCAGAGAAACTTAGGCACAGAGGATGTACCTGCTTCTATGTCATTGTCAGTGTAAGACTTGAGTGGCCCAGCCCAGGGTGATGTGGAAATAGCCAGGGATACCATGATAGGTTCTGCTGCCAATCATACCTATCAACATGAAGAAACGTTTTCATAACTGGCTTATTATGTGCTCAGAGCACAGGCTCATGGTATCTAAATGACCACTGAGGGCCAGATAGTTCTCATAACTCTAACATAGTCTCTAGTTACATCTACAAGAAAGATGCAATTGGAATTTACAGATGCCAAAAAAGGAAAGGTAAGGATTTACATTTCAAAGGTAAAACTCATAGCCAGCAAATGGAAAGGAAGAAATTTTACATGTCAAAGATACGGAAGGGGAAAATTTACATCAGCTCAAGCTGTAAATTGATCAACAAATCCTGAGAGGATTTACTCTGGAATTTACCACCAGCAGGGAAATGTTTATGATAAAGCTGAGCCAGAAATTCTTTTACCCTTAGCCAGTTAATCATCTGGGTGAAATTTTTGGAGGCCTCAGCTAAATTCCACACTATAAGGAAAGCCTCAGGCAGTTACATGATTTTCTTTGCAAACAAAATTGCTGTACTGAAGCCAATAGAAAGAAAATTTAAAACTTTTACGACAAAGACCTACGTTAGGTGTTAGGCAAAGTTTATACTCCTTAGAAAGCAGCTTTGAAAATACTCAGATGGACAGGATATGTCAATTCTTGTGGAAATGACCACTGTCACTCAAGAGGATAAGAGAGGGAGGACCTCAACCACACACTGCCCAATTCTGTCCAGAATTCTCAACAACCAGAAATGGGGGATGAACTCACTCTAGCCATCTACCAGAATATTACGGGATGGTTTTCATGTGTAGTTAGATGAACAGAAGGAAGGTAAAAACAACTATTATGGGCCTCTGGTTGGCGGTAGGAGAAGAGTTTCAAAGAGGGGAACCTGGAAGAATTGCATCACTGTGGGAGTATAAGAAATCATAAAAGATGTCTTAGCAGACCTTTGTTCAGTGAAGTGGCCCGTGGGATAGTGTTAAGAGTGCCGGTTTTGGAGTGGGAAGACTAGCTTTGTCACTCACCTGAACGGCCTTGGGAAAGTTATTTATCCTCTTGGGACCTCAATTTCCTCATCTGTAAAGTTAAGGGGTGTACTAGAGAGCTTTTAAAGCCCCTTCTGGATCTTTGTCATGAGACAAGCTGTTTTCCCTCAGCTTTGCTGGGCCTAGGTTGGCAATAAAGTTTCTTAAGATAATAAACTTAAAAGTCTCAGCCTCTACGTTACTCTGCCTTCCTTACCTTTTGGTGCAGAAGTTTTTATCTTTTTTGTGTCCTGGACCCCTCTGGCAGTCTGACAAAATCTACAGGCCCCTTCTCTTAAGTGTATAAATGAAAATGCAGAGGATTATAAGGGAAACCAACTCTACTGAATAAAGATATGAATTTGTTTCCTATCCAAATTCATAGACCCTTTGAAATCTATCAAGGGTCCACGGACTCCACATTAAGATACTGAGTTCCTTGAGGGTAGGGACTGTCTTTTGCCTCTTTTTGTATCCCCAGTGCCTGGCACATAGTAGGTGCTTAATAACATGTTTATCAACTGGCTAGATGATCTAAGGCAGGGGTAGGGAACCTGTGGCCTCGCTGAATCCAAACTTCATGGAACAAAACCCCTTAATAAAAGGATGTGTTTTGTAAAACTTGGACTCACTTAAGGACCTAGAGGGCCACAAGTGGCCTCGAGGCCAAAGGTCCCCAACCCTTGATAAGGTGTCTTCTAGCTTTATATTCTGGCAGTCTGTGAATCCTAAGTAAGGAGAGAAGGTAAGGAGAGAAGGTCGAGGAGAGCTAGGAAACAAGTATGTCTTGCTTGTGTCCAGCAGCAGCAGTTGCTGAAGCTATACCCAAGCCCAGTCAACCAGAATGATCCAAAGGCTTCCAGTTGGCACTTCTGCCTTGACCTCCCAGGATACTCTATCACCACCAAGGCTAGATGGAGGGAACAAGCTCCTGTGCTTTCCTAGGTGAGCCTGTTGCCAGCTGTTCTCCAGATGTGAAGAAATGATTTCTCCTTTATTGTTGCCAATCAGAGACTTTTTAATGTGGCTGAAGAGGAAAGCGGAACCCAGAGATTAAGTGACTGGCCCAAAGTAACACAGGAGGTAAGTGGCAGAACTAAGATTCTAAACCATAGTTAATCAAACCTCTGACCCCAAATGTAGAAGGAATCTTTGTACTGTGCCACATCATAGTCACTTTTTCATGGAAAATGTCTTTTTTTCTGACACACAGACTAAGGCAACCCTTGATACAGTCTTTAAAAGGCCCATTCCAGGGTTCTTGCAACCATACAAATTCATTTCCCTTCCCTTTTCTCTTTCTCTTTCTCTTTGAACTGATCCCTCCTCAGTGAATGGGAAGGTATCTGAGAACGGACACTGTATTTAAATCTCTGGCGAAAATAAAATAGCAATACAGTCCCGAGGCACTGGATACCATTTGGTCAGTCAACAAACATCTTTAAGTGTTTACTAGGTACCAGGTACTGTGCCAGAAATAACAAGAAAGGTGAGGTTAATGTCCCTGCCCTCAAGGAGCTCACATTCTAATGGGAAACACAACATGAGAATAAAATATATAGAGAGAGAACATTGAGAATAAACAATAATATTAATAACAAATAAAATAAATGTAATGATTTAAACAAAAATAAAATGTGAGAATATATGTATATTGTGTGTGTATATATCTACATGTGTATATGTATGTATGTATGTGTGTGTGTGTATGCATATATGTGTGTACCAGAAATGGAAGGCAATCTCAGAGGGAAAGCTTGAACTACTGAGAATGGCCTAGTCAGCTTTCGGAAATTCATCTGATCTTGCTCTCTTGGGCCTATCCACCCTGGTACATAATAGGTGCTTAAGAAATACTTATGCCCTCTCCTACCCCTTCACCTAAACCCTAAGAGATTACTGTTCTAGTTCTTCCACAGTGTTACCTGCATGTGGAACCTCCCTCTCAGGGATTTTCCCTTACCATGTCTGAGCTTCAAGTGTCCTATGGCTAATGAGGCCAAAGTCATGGGTTTTATCCCAACTGACTATCCCCTTAGGTTATAGACCATACTTCTAAGTGAGCTTCAGGTGATACCTTTAACTCTGGTTATAGACTGGCCCTTAACCCACTTGACTCAGTCAGATCTTTAACTCTTATCAATCCATCCTATAAATGCTTACCTCAGTCACATGTTGATGAAAGGATACCTACTTAGCACAACCCATTCCTACAACTGAAGAAACAACTCTCAGGGCCCATTCTTCCAAAAGAGGAGTCAAGGAGCATTCCGCCAATCATTTCTCCCTAGAGAAATGCTCCTCTCATAAGCTATAGAACACGGCTGAGGCTGATTGGGACCTCCGCCCCTCAAAATCAAAAGGTGGGGTCAGACATCACTTTTCTCCCCATTATTGATCCCAGATAGCTTCTTCCTTACTCTAATCTCTCCTTCATCCCTCACCAGAGCCATCCCTAGTATGACTCTGCTCTTCAACACAGGAAGGGGAGGAGTTGCATAGTCTCATCCCTAGCTCCTCCATCAAACTCCAGTGCCCTCTTCTTCACCTTTCAAAAGTGCCTACACGCATGCACAGCTTTATGCATCTTTCTTTTCGCTTTTCTGTCTTTTCGCTGTCCTCCAGACTCTCGATTTTTATAAATTCATTCTCAGTCCGATATCCCTATAACCATCTCTCTTGCCCCCTCATCTCTGATATTTCTTAGCCCGTGTTTTGGGGGAAGGAGTAGAATGGGGAGTGCAGTGAACTGAGTGCTTAAACCTAACCAATGAATTTCTAGTGCTGGGATTTCAACTACATAGTTGAGAGATTTTAGGGAAGCAGGATTAGTCTCCTGGAGGCTCCTCTGGAGTTCCTCTTTTTAAACCACGCGGGATTCAGTCTTCGAATAGGGCCAAAGCCTGCCAAGCACCCCATGTCCGCACAGCTGAGGAGCAGAAGAGAAGGGCTCGCCAGGATGCAGGACCCCTCGGGCTGTCCCAGCCGAGTGGAAAGTTTGACAGAAGGTGCTGTGCGTCCCAGACCTAGCCTCTTCCCCTAAGGGGACAAGGGATGATGCCTTACTGGCTGGTCAGGTGTCTCCATCCCCGGGGGCTTCCTCACTTGGTACACAGCCTGGGGGAGGGAGGAGGAGGAGGATAGAGGGTACAGGGCTCACGTCCAACCCCACCCCCAACAGCCATGCACACACAACCTTACCTGGAGAGCCATCGCCGCCAGGGGCAGCCTCCCCACTGACTTCCCCCAGGGGGCCGAGGCCAGGAATCCCCCGTATCCCAGCCACCAGGCCTTTGTCTCCCCCAAGACTTGGGGGGGGTCTGTCTGTCTGTCTTCTTGTCTGTGCGTCCCACCCCTTCCAGACAACTGGGCTGTGCAGTGCAGGGGCGATGACGGAATGGCAGAGCTGCAGACCTGAGTACTGGGGGAAGGGCTATCCCGGCTGGGTAAGGAGTTATCGGGGAGGGGCGGAGGAGGCTCCGGACGGCCCCAGGAACCCCGGGTAGGGGGAGTGGTGGGAGCTAGGGGTGCTAAAGGGAGGCGGGGAGTGTCTGAGAGCCAGGAGCTCTCCTCCAGCTGATTGCCTCGCCGGAGTGGAACCGCCTCCCCACCCCGGTCTCGCATCCCTGGGAGTTGTAGTTCCATCCCTTTGGTCTCCGGAATGCCTGTCTGGGTGGTTCGCCTCCCGGGCAAAAAGAACTACAAATCCCAGAAGCTCCTGCGGTGGCCGCGCGTGTCAGGGGCGGAGGGAATCTGGGGCTGCTGGTCCTTCCCCTGGACTGGGACAGGGTAGGGGCTGTCATGGGGGAGGGGAGCCGAGGAGCGGCCTTGGGAACCACATGCTGATCTCTCACGGCTGTCCCCAGCACTTACTACTTGGGTAGTCCATTATCCCCAGCTTGTGAAACACACACACACACACACACACACACACACACACACACGCCCTGTAGTCTATATTACCTCCCCACCCCCGGGGTCAGGCCCGGGGTGAATAGAGGCGGGCTAATGGAGCTGGACATTGACCAACAAAATCCAGAAGTAGCCCAAGTTTGTCTCAGGTGAGGCATCTTCGGTCCCCCTTTTCTGACCTCCACCCCTCCCTATGGTCAGCTTTGTACCCAGTGCCCATTCCCCTTTTCTCTTAATCTCCCACAAACGCATTACCACACTTACAGGGGCATTGGAAAGGCTTCTTTGCCCACAGTACTTTTCCCCACTGAGGAGTGAAATTCCACTATTAGAGCTCCATGCAGATACTTCTGGGAAGGGTGGCACCAATGCCTGTCCTAGACAAGACCAAAAAGTCAGGGGAAGTCCATCCTTGGTGCTCTTCAGACTTTCCCTCTGCCTGGCATGATGTAATGGAAAGAGGTCTAGACTCTCAGATCCCACCACAGACCTGTGTGACCTCAAGCAAATGATTTAACCTCTCTGAGCCTCAGTTTCCTCATCTATGAAACGGGAATACCCATAGTATTTACCGCATGGGGTTTTTAAGAAGTACTATGTAAATGAGAGCTATTATTATTTATTTACTACCTGGTCCATCCTCTTAGTCATTATGACCTGATGATCCTCTAGGACAAGCTTTCTTACCTGAAGTCCCTGAACTTATTTTAAATACACACACATAATCATTTCAGTATAATTGATTTCCTTTGTAATTTTATGTATTTTATGCATTAAATAAGAAGGGGTTTGTAGGCTAACCAGACTACCAAAGGAGTGAGTCTATCACACATACATAAGAACCTTGCTCTAGGCTTCAGGTGTTACTCAAGTCACGGGTATTTGCCTGACAACTAGAAAACCCTAAAAATCAAAGGACTAGGGGCAGCTAGGTGGATAGAGCACTGGCCCTTAAGTCAGGAGGACCTGAGTTCAAATCTGGTCTCAGACCAAACACTTAACACTTACTAGCTGTGTGACCCTGGGCAAGTCACTTAACCCCAATTGCCTAAAAAAAAAAATCAAAGGACTAGATCTCTAATAGCATTTCAGGCATTGTGTGCATAGGCAGGTACTTGCTCTGTTGGCTTCCATGTAGGGTAGCTTTGCCAGCATTCCTCATCCCAGAATGTTGGTGACGACCAATCCTGTAGCATAGGCTCACAGGTTCTGAACTGCTGTGGATGTCAAAGCTCGTCCTGTTTAGCCCCCTCATTTTAAAGATGAGGAGTGTTGCCTTGCCAGAAGTCACAAACCTAAGTGTCCTAGAATGGGAGTCTCAGCTCAAGTACCACTTCCTACCAGTCTTTTCTCAGTAACCCTAGGTGTTAATGTTCCACCCAGTCCACGATTAAATGAAGTTGTATTTATTTGTCTTTTCTTATCCGTGTTCATGTTATTATCCTCCCATAGAATTAAAGTTCCCTAAGGCCAGGACTATCTCCTTTTTTTATGTTTGTAGCCCAAGTGCCTGGCACATGGTGAGTGCTTTAAAAAAATGCTTTCTGAACTGAATTTAATGAAAGAAAAGTAACAAACGTGTCCATATCCTTTGACCCAGAGATCAACTTCTGAGTTCAGTTCGGTTCAACAAGCATTTATTAGGCTCCTACTATGTGTGTCTCAGGCACTGTCTGTCCTAGGAAGTGAGGACAAAAGACAAAAAGGAAGCAGGTCCTGCCTTTAACAGAACTTACTTTCTATTTTATAACTCGAGGGTATTATTAATGAGAAAAGACAGGATCTGTGAAAATAGCAGCATTGTTTGTAACAACAAAAAGTTGGAAACAATTAGTAAACAAGTTGTGGTATAAACACAAGGCTCAAAGACTTTGAACTAAGCTAAATACTACTAAGTGAAACACTTAACACTTTCTTTTAACAAATAGAAAATTACTGTAGTACGAAGTTGTAAGAACTCTCTAGCAATCACCATCATTCTTTTGTATTGTTTTGCTGAGATTCATTATACATGGTAGGGGATTCAATTGGGAGTATAGTCTGGAGCAGGGGTGGGGAACTTTGACGGAATCCAAACTTCACAGAACAATCCCCTTAATAAAAGGATTTGTTCTGTAAACCTTGGACTCTGTCAAAAGGCTGTACCCAACGACCTAGAAGGCCACATGTGGCCTCGAGGCTATAGGTTCCCTACCCCGGTCAAAAAATTATTCATCAAAATTTAAAAAGGAATGTTTTTGCTACATGACATGTTATGCTGTTAGTTATATGCACAATATTAATGCTGTATTGTGGGTGCGGCTAATGTATATATAGTACTTAGTGGAACAGAAAGAATGGTAGGAATGTTTATGTCAACAGGATACATCTGTTCTTGTGGAACTGTGGAAACGACAAGTATCAATCAAAGGGAGATAGACCACCACAATCAAATCGCCAAACCCTGGACAAGTTTCTCAAGCCAGTTATCTCGCAGGCAACCTTCCTCTGAAGGAATGATGATGTAGTCTGCGTGCACAGGGAAAAGGGAGATGTTAAAAAACAACAACAACAACAACCACTGTGGCCTCCTGGTTGTGAGGGGATGGGAGAAGGCATTTGAAGAGAAGGTTTAGAAAGACCATATCCTAGTGGGAAGAATAGAGGGGTTATAAAAACATCTTGACAGATACCTCTTCAGGGAGGTCATAGAATCATAGACTTTGAGTTGAAAAGGACCCAAATGGTCTTTACTCAGAGAAGATAAATGACTTGGACAGGATCACATAGCTAATGATTGTGAGGCAAAATTTCAACTCTGGTCTTGTTTTCTCCTAAAGCCACTACTCCCCAGGGGTCAAACAGGCCACCCACACTCCCTAGTGCTACTAGAACCAGATTCAAATACAATTGGGAAATATTTAACAAAATAAATAAGAATACAATAAGACATTGATAATTTTATTTATTTTAAATTTACATTTAAAACTAAGAAACAGTTTAAAACTAAGTTAACAGTGGCCTGCCTGGATCTTTATGTAGGGATTTCACTCACATTTCGATTTGAGTTTGACATTACTGCCCGACACGACTGCCTGACACTACAGAGGGCTGATTATAGAAAGCTGTGCAACACTCTGTCTTGAATTTTGCGAGGCTGTCATTGTGACTAAAGTTTCCAGAGAATAAACTAAAAGTTTGTTTCTGTAATAACCGATAATCCCACTGTGAACAGAGCACCAGGCCTGCAGTCAGGAAGACAAGTTTAAATGGGGCCTCAGAAACTTACTGGCTGTGTGACTCTAGTGAAGTCACTTAACCGCTGTCTGCCTCAGTTTCCTTATCTGTAAAATGGGGATAATAATAGCACCTACCTCTTGGGGTTGTTATGAGGATTGTAGGACCCACTTGAGCTCTTTTGAAATGCTCTCTGAATGAACCCCAAAATTAAGCTGACTTGGAGCATTCTTCTGTTTATGACTGATAAGGACCAGGCGCCTTGCACCAGACACTAACTTGATTAATAGCATTTCTCTTATCTTGTTGTTTTATGGGTGCTATTCAGTTACGACATTCTATTCTTGTTATGACATCCCCTTGTTTATGGATGACAGAAACCAGACATTCTGGGGGCACTCTCTTGTTCTATGGAACTATAATTTTAGCTGATATAGGCATCTTGAGTCAGAAGGGGGGAACACTTCCTTATATACAATCTCCTTCAACCAACCTTTCTTTGATTCTCAGTTTCCCTGACAATCCCATATATGTACGTTTCTGCCAGCTTATAGAAAATAAATAGCACATATATGACCTAATTTTGTTTGCCTTTTTTTGGACCAAACACTGAAGGCTGACAGGATGAAATAAGATAATTATAAATGGCTTAGCGCAGTGAATGGCACTTAGTATGCACTATTAAAATGTTAGCTATTCTGATGATGATGATGATGATGATGATTTCTATGGGAAGTGAAAGAAGGAGGGCACAGCTAGACTACAGGATAGAAAACTAACAAACCACATCTTCGTATATCAGACAACTGACTAAAAGGTGTAGAGAATACTGTACTCCACTGAGTTTATTATTTGTTGACAATAAAAAAAGCATCAAAAAGGTGTCTTCCATGCAAATGTAAAAACCATATAAGATTTCTCTTTTTTCCACTTTTAAAAATCTGGTTTTAACATTCATTTTTTAAAAATCTTTTAATTTCAAATTCCTCCAGCCCATCCCCCATCCATTAAGAAGGCAAGCAATATATCCATTACACATGTGAAGTCATGCAAAACATATTTCCATATAAACCACATACAAGATTTCTTACTAGACATATCAACAAAATAGCTTTGATCAACAATCTTGTCATCACCGAACAAGGCATAAACCAAGAAGTCAAGGATGTTTGACACTATCATAGAAGATGTCCAGTGCAGAGCCCAAATGCAAGAAAAATAGCTTCTTAGGTACCCAACAGAGTTTAGGAAGGTTGTGCCTGAATATCATGAGTGAGCATTCCCATTGGCTCTTGCCCTTCCCCTTCCTCTCCATGGACAAGATTGGAAAAGAAAACAAAAGATAACAATGGTAAATATTGGTATATGAAGAGCCAATCAAACATACCCCCAGGGAGTTCTAGCTGATACTCTATTCATACTTAATGGATTCTTTGCAGATGGTAAAATCCCCCAGATGCTTCTGTCTGTGGATAGCATTGTGCTGACT